GGCGCACTATCCAGTGTGCCACTGGGCTGGCCCCAACAAATGGTTTTAAAACTACTCAATGAGAGGCTCCAAATAATAATAGCTAACATTATTGTGTGTGGAGTATGTACCAGGTTCTCTTCTAAGTGCTTTACATAATTAACTCCTTTAATGTCCACAACAACCTATGTAGTGTTTCTATCATGAGCTGCAATTTGCACATGAGAAAAGTGAGGTACAGAGAGGATAAGATCACACAACTTTTTCACATCTGTCCAAGTTCATAAAGGAGAATAACATTTAAAACCAAACAGGTTCAACCCAGGGTCTGAACTCAGACAGTCCGACTCCAGAACCTATGCTCAAAACTACGTATTATCTTATACCGTCATTTATATAATAAGACCTTCTAAAAATATCACTGGAATGCTGCCTCTTAAAAGTATATTAGAAATTTAGATCAGGTCTACTTACACAAAGTAAGCTAAGGCTGTGGTAGAAAAATATGAGAAGTTAAAATTATTCAATAGCACACAAATTTTTAATTCTTTAGATTCTAAAATTAAGTTCACCTTGAACTTGTTAAGACAAGTAAACAGATATGATGTTGATGGTGGGTGAGGGAGGGAGGGAGGGAGGAAAAGGAGTAATTGGTAAAGGGATATGAAAATCAACTACACTGTATATTGATAAATTAAAATTTTTAAAAAGTATTTTAAAATATAAAAAAATTAAATTAAATTAAATTAAGTTCATGCTCTCTCTCAAAAGTATTGAATTAGCTTTGAGTTCATTGTTAACAAGCTGGTGGAAATACAAAAAATGACTGACAGCATTTTTGCAAAGAATTTCCTAACAGAATACTAAAGTAATTTTAATTCAGTCTGGGAGGAAGATAATGATAATGGTTATTAAATAGACCATTGTTCTCATTCTATTCCCCATAATGGGACCAAGAAAAATACCTTTTTAGTCTGATATTTTTAATCTTTAAAACTCCAGTGAAGTAAGTCATATGCAAATTCTCCAGAGGTTGAAATGCCGTCTAGAACAGCATTATGATTAGGTACCCACCTGAACATGATGCTATGCTAGAGATTGCAATTGTAGCACTAAAAAGTCCTGGTGTGAAAAAGATATGTTAACAAATGCCATTTGCTATTTCTAAAACAACACTTAAAGCTTAATGATTCATTCAGTATGTGACCACAAACACAAGGTACAGATTCATATGTAAAAAGTGAGCATAGTGTCCAGTAGATAATTTCGACACAAAGTGCAACTTTACTTACAATTATTTAGATAATTGAGGTCAAAACTCATTTTCAGATATAATTTTTTTTAAAATTTGTGTCTAGACCAGCCTCTTCTCTCACTGCTCTTCCTGCCTCCCTCTCTCCCAAATTTATGTCCCAACCATTCTAATTTGTCAAATAGTCTATGTTCTCTCTCACTTCTGTATCTTCACATGTGATCTTTCCTCTGCCCAAGTCATCCTTCATACCAATGTTTCTCAACCTCTTTTTTATCACTGACCCCTAAGAAGCCTTTTTAGACTTTTTTTTCCTAATCATTTCCCCTCCCCTCAATTAAATTTTAAGGAATTAGATTTTGTCAGATAGAATTGAGCTTTGGATAGTCACAAAACCTTGTAAAAGCTAAGATTTATTTTGCCTGCCAAACACCCATTTTCTCCCCTTGGGGGCAATGATGCCCCTGTTGAGCTTGCATATTCTCTGCTCAGGCCAATCTCTGCTTCCAACCACCTTGCCCTGCACTTGGCTAACTCCTATTCCACCTGCCACCTTCACTTCTCAATTTGGACTTCAGTTCCTCCAGAGAGCGTTTCCTGATTCCTCAAGTCAAGATCACATGCTCCTCCTGTGTGCTCCCATTAAATGCAGTACTTCCCAGCATTTATTATGTAATACTATAATTTTCTGTTTATTTGTCTGTAGTTTTCCTTAGACTGTGAGGACAGCTTGTTAAATGACCTATGTCTATATTAGTCAGAGTTTCCTAGAGAAACAGAACCAGTAGGATGTGTGAGAGATTTATTTTAAGGAATTGGCTCATGTGATTGTGGGAACTGCAAGTCTAAAATCTGCAGAACTGGCTGCAGGCTGAGGATCCATGGAAGGACTGATGTTGCAGCTCTAGTCTGAAGGTAAAATTCCTTCTTCTTCGGAAAACCTTAGTCTTTTTTCTCTTAAGGCCTTCAACTTAATGAGGTCCACACACATTATGGGGTAACCTGCCATTTTCAAAGTCTATGGAGTTAAATGATAATCTTATGCAAAATGTAGCGTTACAGCAACACCTGGACTGGTATTTGAGCAAATTTCTGGGTACCATGGCCTAACCAAGTTCACACCATCACAGTGTCCAACACATGGTTCTATGCCTAACATATGGCAAGTTTTCAACAAATATCTGATGAATGCATTAAAAAACCCCACTCATCTTAGGAGTGAAGTTATGGTGTCAGTCAAGCTAAGTTAGGTAGTTGGAATGTCCGCCAGCTTAAGTCAATTTATGCTTCAGTAACAAATGAACCCAAAGCCTTGGTGGCTTAATATCATAAAGATTTACTTCTTGCTCATACTGCATATCCACTGAAGTTCAGCTGCTGCTCTGTTCCATGTAACTGTCATTCTGAGACACAGGCTGATGAAACGGCCTGTCTGGAATAGCGCCTGCTTCACAACAAAGGGGAAAAGCTCTTAAAGTTTCGGATGTAGACATATCACTTCTACTCATATTTTATTGGTCACTGCAACTTTATGGCTAAGCCTGACATCAATGGGACAGGGAAATATGACTGTCCAGCAGGGAGGAGCAGCAGATAATTGTGAAAAATGACATGGCAGAAATGAAGTCTGGAGGTAGAATGAGATGAGTGGCTGTTATGGGTTGCACTGTGGCCCCCTTCAATTTCATAAACCCCATATGTGGGAGTCCTAACCACCAGTACCTCAGAATGTGACCTTGTTTGGATATAGGGTCATTGCAGATGTAATTAGTTAAGATGAGGTCATTGGGGTAGGTCCTAATCCAATATAACTGGTGTCCTTACAAAAAAGGGAATTTTTATTTTTATCTTTTTTAAAGATGACTGGTAAGGGGATCTTAACCCTTGACTTGGTGTTGTCAGCACCACGCTCTCTCCCAAGTGAGCTAACCGGCCATCCCACTATAGGGATCTGAATCCATGGCCTTGGTGTTATCAGCACTACACTCTCCCAAGTGAGCCACAGGCTCACCCTCAAAAAGGGAGATTTGGACACAGACACACACACAGGGAGAGTGCAGTAGGAAGGTGAAGGTGGAGATGGGTTGATACTTCCACCAGTCAAGGAATGCCAAAGAAATCATGAGAAGACAGGGGAGAGGCACAGAATAGATTCTTCCTCATGGCCCCCAGAAGGAACTAACCCTGCTTACACACTTTAATCTCAGACTTTTAGCTTCCAAAACTGTGAGGAAATATACTGTTGTTTCAGCCACCTAATATGCGGCATTTTGTTAAGGCAACCCG